ACGAGGAGTTGTAGCGTGTGTTGTTGTTTGTCACTGTCACGAGGAGTTGTAGCTTGTCATGTTGTTTGTCACTGTCACGAGGAGTTGTAGCGTGTGTTGTTGTTTGTCACTGTCACGAGGAGTTGTAGCGTGTGTTGTTGTTTGTCACTGTCACGAGGAGTTGTAGCTTGTCTTGTTGTTTGTCACTGTCACGAGGAGTTGTAGCGTGTGTTGTTGTTTGTCACTGTCACGAGGAGTTGTAGCTTGTCTTGTTGCTTGTCACTGTCACGAGGAGTTGTAGCTTGTCTTGTTGTTTGTCACTGTCACGAGGAGTTGTAGCTTGTCTTGTTGTTTGTCACTGTCACGAGGAGTTGTAGCTTGTCTTGTTGTTTGTCACTGTCACGAGGAGTTGTAGCGTGTGTTGTTGTTTGTCACTGTCACGAGGAGTTGTAGCTTGTCTTGTTGCTTGTCACTGTCACGAGGAGTTGTAGCTTGTCTTGTTGCTTGTCACTGTCACGAGGAGTTGTAGCTTGTCTTGTTGCTTGTCACTGTCACGAGGAGTTGTTGCTTGTCTTGTTGCTTGTCACTGTCACGAGGAGTTGTAGCTTGTCTTGTTGCTTGTCACTGTCACGAGGAGTTGTTGCTTGTCTTGTTGCTTGTCACTGTCACGAGGAGTTGTAGCTTGTCTTGTTGTTTGTCACTGTCACGAGGAGTTGTTGCTTGTCTTGTTGTTTGTCACTGTCACGAGGAGTTGTAGCTTGTCTTGTTGTTTGTCACTGTCACGAGGAGTTGTTGCTTGTCTTGTTGTTTGTCACTGTCACGAGGAGTTGTAGCTTGTCATGTTGCTTGTCACTGTCACGAGGAGTTGTAGCTTGTCTTGTTGTTTGTCACTGTCACGAGGAGTTGTAGCGTGTCTTGTTGTTTGTCACTGTCACGAGGAGTTGTTGCTTGTCTTGTTGTTTGTCACTGTCACGAGGAGTTGTAGCTTGTCTTGTTGTTTGTCACTGTCACGAGGAGTTGTAGCGTGTCTTGTTGTTTGTCACTGTCACGAGGAGTTGTAGCTTGTCTTGTTGTTTGTCACTGTCACGAGGAGTTGTAGCGTGTCTTGTTGTTTGTCACTGTCACGAGGAGTTGTAGCGTGTCTTGTTGTTTGTCACTGTCACGAGGAGTTGTAGCGTGTCTTGTTGTTTGTCACTGTCACGAGGAGTTGTAGCGTGTGTTGTTGTTTGTCACTGTCACGAGGAGTTGATTTTATACTAGTATATATTTATTTATACTGAATGTGTGTACTCACCTATTTGTACCTGCAGGATCGAGCATTGGCACTTGGATCCCGCCTTTCGAGCCATCGGTTGTTTACAGCAATGACTCCGGTCTTATTTCCCATCATACCTAGTTTTAAAATTATGAATAGTATTTGCTTCCACAACCTGTTCCTTAAGTGCATTCCATTTTCCTACTACTCTCACGCTAAAAGAAAACTTCCTAACATCTCTGTGACTCATCTGAGTTTCCAGCTTCCACCCATGTCCCCTCGTTCTGTTACTGTTCCGTGTGAACATTTCGTCTATCTCCACTCTATCAATTCTCCTGAGAATTTTATATGTTCCTCTCATATCCCCCTCTCCCTTCTTTTTTTCTAGTGCCGTAAGACTCAGTTCCTTCTGGCGCTCCTCATACCCTATCCCTCGTAATTCTGGGACGAGTCTCGTTGCAAACTTTTGAACCTTTTCCAGTTTCGTTATGTGATACTCTGTCTGATCCAACTGCTTTAGTTGCAGTTGACAACATCCAGTGTTGTCAACTGTTTCATTACCTCCTCTGCTGTCACCTCTATATCTGTTAGTCTTTCATCTAGGGTAATCTCTTCTAACAATGGGAGCTGCTCAGGCTCTGTTGTGAACACTCCATGGAAACTGGTATTCAGTGCCTCGCAGATTTCCTTGTCACTTTCTGTATATGCTACTTCTGTTTTCCTTAGTCTTGTCACTTGGTCGTTCACCGACATTTTTCTTTTTATATTGCTGTATAGTAATTTAGGAAGCTTTTTCGCTTTGTTCGCAATATCGTTCTCATAATTTTTTCCTATACTCATGTTAATATAATCGTAGTTATGGTTCTAATATATATATATATATATATATATATATATATATATATATATATATATATATATATATATATATATATATATATCTCATGTATCTAATCTATCTATTATATCTCATGTTATATATCTCATATATAATTCATTCTTACACTTCACAGTAAGAATGTGAGGTGGAAGGCCAGAAGTTAAGAAGTGTACCAGACGTATTATTTGGAATGAAGACATCTACAGAAGGCCGAGTGGAAATGAGAAAGAAGTGAAATTAACAATGAAAACGATTGCAACACTAAAGAAAAGAGAGAGAGCCTTTAATGGCAAACGTTAAGTCAGGTTAAGTTTATATGAAGGTTAGAGCATGTGACTATAGACTGAGACAGGCGAGAGTCAACAGCAACAAAGCCAGGACTAAGGTTCAGTGTTGGACATGTTGTGGATGGGAATGGAGTCGACAAGACGGCGCCTGTAGAGGGTAACAACAGGATAGATTATTTCAGAAGACCAATCAATTGGATGATTAGCCCCTAACATGACAGAAGAGCGAATTGCTTGTTTACAGACTGAAGACATCTTTTCATATAGTTTATCATTCAGAATACGGTCAGCTTCACCAAAGTATTGGGGAAGGCAAGAGGAACAGGAAATAAACACGAGCAGCACTGGAAGCAGGAAGAGATCTAAGAAGGGTGTCTGGAGGGTGAATGTTATATCAAGAGGACGAAGGTATTGGTAAGATCTTTAAATTCAGATATAAAGGTCAGGCACAGTACAGTGCTTCTAGTGCTGCGAGCAGGTCTAAGATGTATGTTCTTTTAGTTAGAGACATTCCTCAACAAATTTAAGGGATAACTAAGGCAGGAAAAATACTTCTAAATAGGAGAAATTTCAGAATCAAGAAGCTGTCACAGATGCATAGGGCCCAGAGGTAGAAGGAGAGTGAACACTTTTCTCAGCTGAAAGGAATTATTTAGACAAAAAAAATTAATGTACATACCACTGTGGAATAGACTTGCGGTCGGCAGATCGAGAGACGCCAAACACAGAGATGTGAACTTGTATATCTTCGAAACGAAAGAGAATAATCCATTCGTATTCAACTTTGAAATTGACAAAGAGCAAGAAAGTTTAGAGATCAAGAGGAATGGCAGGAAAAGACCCTTTACAATGGCTAAAGATAGAAAATGTCAACATAAAGAAACCAAAAAGACAATTATGAATAGTGGAAAGAAGAGCAACTTCATTGTACTCCATACAGAGATCGGCAAGAACAGGAGATAGATCCCATAGCAATACCCAAAGTCTAAAAGAAAAATGTTACCATTGAAAGAGAAGGAATTAGAGTTAACAGAGTCTGATGAGATTGAGGAAGACGTCAATAGCAAGAAGGAGATAAAGAAGGACCTCAGTCGCCTCAGAAGGAAAGAGAGATTATCATCAAGAGAACATTATTAAAAATAAAATTATCATCAAATTCGATTGATAAAGTCCTGAAAATGACGAACGTGGGCGGAGGGGGGGGGGTGCCTAAGCTAATACATGAGATAAGTCCTAAGATAAGACATAAGATAAGGCGTGAGATAAGTCCTTAGATAAGACCTAAGCTAAGACATGAGATAAGTCCTAAGATAAGACGTTAGAGTTCTGGTCAGCCAGGAGGCAAGAGGATAACTGACAGAGCCTCTCGAATCAATTATATGAGGAAGAGGAACACCACGTTAGTGAGCCTCAGTGAGGCCGGAGAAATAATGAACAAAAGGACAAATAAAAACGAAAATATTTGACGAGATCAAAGTCAAGAAGACAGACGCTAGAGAGCTCACTTTAATTTACGTTGAAGTCATTTTAAGACGATCACAAGACTTAGAGACCAGAGGAGCATAAGTCTGGGAGACAGACAGCTCCACATGAGGCTTCCTTGAAGTCATTTTAAGACGATCACAAGACTTAGAGACCAGAGGAGCATAAGTCTGGGAGACAGACAGCTCCACATGAGGCTTCTGGAGGCAGTCCCCACGATCAAGGACAACCACTGGAATGTCCTTGTCTGAGGGAGGGAGAGCAATTGCATTGTTAGTTTTCAGTGAGACCAGATAATGCAGATAACGACAAGGAAGGCCGGGACGTTTAGAAACCAGTGCGTCAGTGGCGGGGCCCCGGAGATCAGTGGTAGAGCGAGGGTCAGGTGAAGCAGCAAAAAAGAGACCAAGTCCAAGACGTTCTTGCTGGAGCTTAGAGAGGGAGAAGAAGAAGAAAGGTTGGTAACAAAGAGTATTTAGCCCCAAGGAGTGTTGGGGCAGTGTTGTGTAGCAACCCGTTCTTGCACTTACTTACAGTCAATATTGACTTATTAAATACGTGCATATGTGACATACTAAACATACTAGTTTATCTTGAAAAGCTTCATAGAAAACACCGACCTTACCTAACCTTCTTAGTATGTTAAGATAAGTATCTTATTGCTTCGTAATTACAATTATTACTTAACCTATTCCTATAAAAGGTAAGTAATAATTGTAATTACGAAGCAATAAGATGCTTATCTTAACTTACTAAGAAGGTTAGGTAAGGTCGGTGTTTTCTATGAAGCTTTTCAAGGTAAACTAGTATGTTTAGTGTGTCACATATGCACGTATTTAATAAATCAATATTGACTATACGAAAGTGCGAGAACGGGTTGTGTGTAGTGTGGAGGAGTGGTGGGAAGAGCAGTGTTGTGTAGTGTGGAGGAGTGGTGGGAAGAGCAGTGTTGTGTAGTGTGGAGGAGTGGTGGGAAGAGCAGTGTTGTGTAGTGTGGAGGAGTGGTGGGAGGAGAGCTCACACAGATCACTGGGAAGCGCCCACGACCGACCGCGGTTATGGTGATGAACTGATAGAAAAGCCTCACCATTATCACACAGAGGTCAAGTACAGTCTTTTAAGTTAATCTTATGTTGGGAATCTGTTCCTTTCTAATATTGTGATTCTCCTTATTCTTGTCAAATTCAAAGTCTGTGTTTCTTAGCAAGAATACTTCATGACGTGCCGCCGACTGGTAACGTGATACTTCATCACGTGGCGACGACTGATAACGTGTTACTTCCCCAAGTGGCGCCGACTGGTAACGTGTTACTTCCCCACGTGGCGCCGACTGGTAACGTGATACTTTATCACGTGGCGACGACTGGTAACGTGATACTTCATCACGTGGCGACGACTGATAACGTGATACTTTATCACGTGGCGACGACTGATAACGTGATACTTCCCCACGTGGCGCCGACTGGTAACGTGATACTTTATCACGTGGCGCCGACTGGTAACGCGATACTTTATCACGTGGCGCCGACTGATAACGTGATACTTCATCACGTGGCGCCGACTGATAACGTGATACTTCATCACGTGGCGACGACTGATAACGTGATACTTCCCCACGTGGCGCCGACTGATAACGTGATACTTCATCACGTGGCGCCGACTGATAACGTGATACTTCCCCACGTGGCGCCGACTGATAACGTGATACTTCATCACGTGGCGACGACTGATAACGTGATACTTTATCACGTGGCGACGACTGGTAACGTGATACTTCATCACGTGGCGACGACTGATAACGTGATACTTCCCCACGTGGCGACGACTGATAACGTGATACTTCATCACGTGGCGACGACTGATTACGTGATACTTCCCCACGTGGCGACGACTGATAACGTGATACTTCATCACGTGGCGACGACTGATAACGTGATACTTCATCACGTGGCGACGACTGATAACGTGATACTTCCCCACGTGGCGACGACTGATAACGTGATACTTTATCACGTGGCGACGACTGATAACGTGATACTTCCCCACGTGGCGACGACAGATAACGTGATACTTCCCCACGTGGCGACGACTGATAACGTGATACTTCCCCACGTGGCGACGACTGATAACGTGATACTTCATCACGTGGCGACGACTGATAACGTGATACTTCATCACGTGGCGACGACTGGTAACGTGTTACTTCATCACGTGGCGACGACTGATAACGTGTTACTTCATCACGTGGCGCCGACTGGTAACGTGATACTTCCCCACGTGGCGCCGACTGGTAACGTGATACTTCATCACGTGGCGACGACTGGTAACGTGTTACTTCAGCATGTGGCGCCGACTGGTAACGTGATACTTCCCCACGTGGCGCCGACTGGTAACGTGTTACTTCATCACGTGGCAACGACTGATAACGTGATTCATCAGATAACCAGCTTGGCCTCACCGCCTCTCATCACGTGATAATCATCACGGAGACTAACATACATTAACCACTCTCTTCTCCGCCGGTGTAAGTAGTCTCCACAACTTACAATATCAACACTCCACAACTTACAATATCAACACTCCACAACTTACAATATCAACACACTACAACTTACAATATCAACACTCCACAACTTACAATATCAACACACTACAACTTACAATATCAACACACCACAACTTACAATATCAACACACCACAACTTACAATATCAACACACCACAACTTACAATATCAACACTCCACAACTTACAATATTAACACACCACAACTTACAATATCAACACACCACAACTTACAATATCAACACTCCACAACTTACAATATCAACACACCACAACTTACAATATCAACACACCACAACTTACAATATCAACACTCCACAACTTACAATATCAACACTCCACAACTTACAATATCAACACTCCACAACTTACAATATCAACACACCACAACTTACAATATCAACACACCACAACTTACAATATCAACACTCCACAACTTACAATATCAACACACCACAACTTACAATATCAACACTCCACAACTTACAATATCAACACACTACAACTTACAATATCAACACTCCACAACTTACAATATCAACACACTACAACTTACAATATCAACACACCACAACTTACAATATCAACACTCCACAACTTACAATATCAACACACCACAACTTACAATATCAACACTCCACAACTTACAATATCAACACACCACAACTTACAATATCAACACACCACAACTTACAATATCAACACACTACAACTTACAACATCAACACACTACAACTTACAATATCAACACACCACAACTTACAATATCAACACACCACAACTTACAATATCAACACACCACAACTTACAATATCAACACACCACAACTTACAATATCAACACACCACAACTTACAATATCAACACACCACAACTTACAATATCAACACACCACAACTTACAATATCAACACACTACAACTTACAATATCAACACACTACAACTTACAATATCAACACTCCACAACTTACAATATCAACACTCCACAACTTACAATATCAACACACCACAACTTACAATATCAACACACTACAACTTACAATATCAACACTCCACAACTTACAATATCAACATTCCACAACTTACAATATCAACACTCCACAACTTACAATATCAACACACCACAACTTACAATATCAACACACCACAACTTACAATATCAACACACCACAACTTACAATATCAACACACCACAACTTACAATATCAACACACCACAACTTACAATATCAACACACCACAACTTACAATATCAACACTCCACAACTTACAATATCAACACACCACAACTTACAATATCAACACACCACAACTTACAATATCAACACTCCACAACTTACAATATCAACACACCACAACTTACAATATCAACACACCACAACTTACAATATCAACACACCACAACTTACAATATCAACACACCACAACTTACAATATCAACACACCACAACTTACAATATCAACACTCCACAACTTACAATATCAACACACCACAACTTACAATATCAACACTCCACAACTTACAATATCAACACACCACAACTTACAATATCTTCCCATCTATACGACACAATATCTAAGTGAACACTTCCTGGCAGCTATTACAGAACACCTAAGTGAACACTTCCTTTCAGGTGCTGTTCAGAACACGTAAGAGAAAGAATAACGTTGCTGTAACACGTGAGAGAACAACTTGGCTGTAACACGTAAGAGAGAGAACAACGTGGCTGTAACACGTACGAGAGAACAACGTGGCTGTAACACGTGAGAGAGAACAACTTGGCTGTAACACGTGAGAGAACAACTTGGCTGTAACACGTGAGAGAACAACTTGGCTGTAACACGTAAGAGAGAGAACATCGTGGCTGTAACACGTAAGAGAGAGAACATCGTGGCTGTAACACGTAAGAGAGAGAACAACGTGGCTGTAACACGTAAGAGAGAACATCGTGGCTGTAACACGTGAGAGAACAACTTGGCTGTAACACGTACGAGAGAACATCGTGGCTGTAACACGTACGAGAGAACAACGTGGCTGTAACACGTACGAGAGAACAACGTGACTGTAACACGTGAGAGAACAACTTGGCTGTAACACGTAAGAGAGAGAACAACGTGGCTGTAACACGTACGAGAGAACAACGTGACTGTAACACGTGAGAGAACAACTTGGCTGTAAAACGTAAGAGAGAGAACAACGTGGCTGTAACACGTACGAGAGAACAACGTGACTGTAACACGTGAGAGAACAACTTGGCTGTAACACGTAAGAGAGAACAACGTGACTGTAACACGTGAGAGAACAACTTGGCTGTAACACGTAAGAGAGAGAACAACGTGGCAGTAACACGTAAGAGAGAACAACGTGGCTGTAACACGTAAGAGAGAACAATGTGGCTGTAACACGTGAGAGAACAACTTGGCAGTAACACGTAAGAGAGAACTTCGTGGCTGTAACACGTAAGAGAGAGAACAACGTGGCTGTAACACGTACGAGAGAACAACGTGACTGTAACACGTAAGAGACAACAACGTGACTGTAACACGTGAGAGAACAACTTGGCAGTAACACGTAAGAGAGAACAACGTGGCTGTAACACGTAAGAGAGAACTTCGTGGTTGTAACACGTAAGACAGAGAACAACGTGGCTGTAACACGTGAGAGAACAACTTGGCAGTAACACGTAAGAAAGAACAACGTGGCTGTAACACGTGAGAGAACAACTTGGCAGTAACACGTAAGAGAGAACAACGTGGCTGTAACACGTGAGAGAACAACTTGGCTGTAACACGTAAGAGAGAACAACGTGACTGTAACACGTGCCACTAGACAGAGCAACAATCACCCAGGTGAGAGGGCAGTGACCCCCAGCCGTCACTCCTCCTCACAACACCGTCCCATTTCTCGGTAATGTGACCACAGACGAATGGTCCAGTTATTTACCGTCTCCAGCTCAACATTTCTCCCTCTTGCTCTGCCAGGCGCAGCACCGCCAGACGCTGCGCTATAACCTTATCTCGGTGTTCATTCTTATGTGTCTGGTGTTCATATTTGCGTATGTACTCACCTGGTTGTGATTGCGGAGGTTGAGCTTCGGCTCTTTGGTCCCGCCTCTGAATCGTCAATCAACTGGTGTACAGATTCCTGAGCCTACTGAGCTCTATCATATCTACATTTGAAACTGTGTATGGAGTCAGCCTCCACCACATCACTGCATTTTATTTGTTAACTACTCTGACACTGAACAAATTCTTTCTAATGTCTTTGTGGCTCATTTGGGTACTAAGGTTCCACCTGTGTTCCCTTGTTCGGTTTCTACCCGTGTTAAATAGTTTGTTTTTGTCCACCTTGACAATTTCCTTGAGAAGTGTGTAGGTGGTTATCATGTCTCCCCTACTCTTCCACTTGGGCTGAACCGTAGAGGGACGGTCTCGCTTCATATTACGGCCAGCTTGAGCCAGTAACCGGGTTCTTTCTGTTTAATGGGCCTTATAGCCTCTTCTACTATGGTCCAATCCCCAAGTCAAATGGTAAGTTTTCAACAATTGGCGGTACGAAGTAATTGTGCAAGGAATAAAGGGAGCAAACAAGACGACAAAACACCTTCACCAATATATTATCTATCGAAGTATAACTACATATATGTACACAGTATCTCTATCACACAGGACACTCAGTATATCTGCAGTGTTCATCATAGCCCGGTGAGTCCACTATCTTCAAGTACACGTCGTCCACGCTCAATGGTAATCACCGGCGAGTTCACCTTCCTCAACATGGGCCAGTCCCACACACTGTATCGTCACGATGTCCCAATACCCCACAATCTGCTCTCCAGAAACACACTGGCAGAGGACTTCAACAACACGCTGACTGGGGTCACAAATAATGACTTCCAGGGGTCTCTAACACCCTGGCAGAGGGCTTCAACAACACGCTGACTGGGGTCGCAAATAATGACTTCCAGGGGTCTCTAACACCCTGGCAGAGGGCTTCAACAACACGCTGACTGGGGTCACAAATAATGACTTCCAGGGGTCTCTAACACCCTGGCTGAGGGCTTCAACAACACGCTGACTGGGGTCACAAATAATGACTTCCAGAGGTCTCTAACACACTGGCAGAAGTCTCTAGCAACACACTAGCAACACTTCTCAGCTGACGGCCAATACTGTCGTCTAGTAACTCCTCTTGGCCCAATCGTCGTACGTCGGTCCACACAACACTGCACAAGTAAAGCAGCCAACACACTGCTTACTACCGACGGCGGCCACTTGTACTCTCACACGACCAAGTCAAGAGTTCGGGACTGCCCAAACTGAACTGATTACCACAGCGTAACAGATTCTTCACGTCACCTCTGTGAACATTAGAATCATTAGCCAGACAGAAAGTATATAAAAAGAACTTAGGATGGCAACTTTTCACCGAAGAGCTGAAATTGTAATCAAATGAGCCATGTAGATGGTGTTGATATCGCTATTTCACTCACCAGAAGTCATCATCGTCGAGCTCACCTCCTAACTGAAGTATGACACAGGAGCCTTTCGCAGACGCTACACCGACGCCAACAGATGGCGTTGTCTGCATCTCACTATGCCTTGGAGTTGGAGTGCAGGTTCATGGCATCGATATCACCACACCTCACTCCATAGAAAGCTTTGATATCGTAACACAGGTCGGCGTTCAATCCCCGACCGTCCAAGTGGTTGGGCACCATTCCTTACCAATATAGTCGTAATGGCTTGGTGCTTTCTCCTCATATTTCCTTCCTTCCTTCCTCCCCCTTCATCTCTGTCTTCCGGGGACGTTAGGTATAGTTTCCGTAGCCTTTCCTCGTAGCTCATACCTCTCAGTTCTGGAACTAGTCTGGTGGAATACCCCTGAATCTTCTTAACTTTTTCTTGAATTTAACTAGGTATGGATTCCAGGCTGGAGCTGCGTACTCCAGGATTGGTCTGACATAAGTGGTATACAGGGTCCTGAACGATTCCTTACACAAGTTTCTAGAGGCAGTTCTTATGTTGGCCAGTCTAGCATATGCAGCTGATGATATCCTTTTGATGTGGGCCTCTGGGGACAGGTTCGGTGTGATATCAACTCCCAGATCTTTTTCTCGATTTGACTCCTGCAGGATTTCACCTCCCAGATGATACCTTGTGTTCAGCCTACTGCTCCCTTCGCCTAATTTCATTACTTTACACTTTCCTGAGTTAAACTTTAGTAGCCCTTTTCCAAACCATTCCTCCAGTTTGTCCAGGTCGTCCTGTAGTCTCTATCTTCATGTGTCTTGATTCTTCTCATAATTCTTGCATCATCAGCAAACATTGAGAGGAATGAGTCTATACCCTCTGGAAGGTCGTTTACATATACTAGAAATAGGATGGGTCCAAGTACAGAGCCGTGTGGACGTCCGCTGGTGACATCTCGCCACTCTGATGTCTTTCCCCTCAGTTACTCGCTGTTTCCTGTTGCTTGTTCTCCTGAATGTTCTCACTGAGTCTACACGAGCAAGCAGTAGCTCTGTGTTACCCTACATCCATCTCTTTCCTAAATCATTATATTTACTTTTATTCCTGTTTCTTGCAGTTGTTTCTTTTGAACCCGTTTGCTGAAATTGCCTCGAGAATTTACTTTTTTTTTACGATCTCTTTCAACACTTTTTCTGTTGATGAATTTCTCTCAGATCTAACACACGTCTTCTTGCGTATCAGAAATATTTGATTTGAGATGTGAACTCAGAGCCGGTGCTACACACCGCAGACCTGGTCTTATACAGGTTGTATAAAGCAATCTGAAGGTTTGTCGTTGTTCCTGAAGAATATCTGGATTTTTGTTCATTTAAAATGTGCTGAAGACGTTATTTTCGTAAAGTTTACCCTGGAAATATATTTGATGAAATGCACTTCAAGATTACTCTCTTCCACTGTTGGTGGGAGCTGTCTCACTCTCGTTGTGTAGGGCTCCTGGGTCCTCCTCCTCACCTCACCCATGACCATTACTCCAGTCCATCCTGTTAAGGCTTCCCAACGTCAAGAAAACGGTCAATTTAAAGTGGTCTCTCCTAACCAACCAGAGGACCCAAGACAGAAAACGGGACAATACGTCACTTTCGCAAGCTGCTTTCAATTTCTAGTACGAAACTTATTGACCTTAATTAAGTAACGAATACGAGCGAAATGTAACGTTCTTCGCATGAGGACCAATTGATTACTCAGGTTATGTCAGTGATAAAGGCAAGGTGACCATCTGCCCGAATACTGCTGCGGCGCTTCTTGCTCTACTGGTGGCAGACGATGAGTTACTGGTGGCAGACGATGAGTTACTAGTGGCAGACGATGAGTTACTGGTGGCAGACGATGAGTTACTGGTGGCAGACGATGAGTTACTGGTGGCAAACGATGAGTTACTGGTGGCAAACGATGAGTTACTGGTGGTAGACGATGAGTTACTGGTGGCAGACGATGAGTTACTAGTGGCAGACGATGAGTTACTGGTGGCCAGACGATGAGTTACTGGTGGCAGACGATGAGTTACTGGTGGCAGACGATGAGTAACTAGTGGCAGACGATGAGTTACTGGTGGCAGACGATGAGTTACTGGTGGCAGACGATGAGTTACTGGTAGTAGACGATGAGTTACTGGTGGCAGACGATGAGTTACTGGTGGCAGACGATGAGTTACTGGTGGCAGACGATGAGTTACTGGTGGCAAACGATGAGTTACTGGTGGCAGACGATGAGTTACTGGTGGCAGACGATGAGTTACTAGTGGCAGACGATGAGTTACTGGTGGCAGACGATGAGTTACTAGTGGCAGACGATGAGTTACTGGTGGCCAGACGATGAGTTACTGGTGGCAGACGATGAGTTACTGGTGGCAGACGATGAGTAACTAGTGGCAGACGATGAGTTACTGGTGGCAGACGATGAGTTACTGGTGGCAGACGATGAGTTACTGGTAGTAGACGATGAGTTACTGGTGGCAGACGATGAGTTACTGGTGGCAGACGATGAGTTACTGGTGGGAGACGATGAGTTACTGGTAGTAGACGATGAGTTACTGGTGGGAGACGATGAGTTACTGGTGGCAGACGATGAGTAACTAGTGGCAGACGATGAGTTACTGGTGGCAGACGATGAGTTACTGGTGGCAGACGATGAGTTGCTGGTGGCAGACGATGAGTTACTGGTAGTAGACAATGAGTTACTGGTGGCAGACGATGAGTTACTAGTGGCAGACGATGCGTTACTGGTAGCAGACGATGAGTTACTGGTGGCAGACGATGAGTTACTGGTGGCAGACGATGAGTTACTGGTGGCAAACGATGGGTTACTGGTGGCAGACGATGAGTTACTAGTGGCAGACGATGAGTTACTGGTGGCAGACGATGAGTTACTGGTGGCAGACGATGAGTTACTGGTGGCAAACGATGAGTTACTAGTGGCAGACGATGCGTTACTGGTAGCAGACCATGAGTTACTGGTAGCAGACGATGAGTTACTGGTAGCAGACGATGAGTTACTGGTGGCAGGCGAAGAGTTACTGGTAGCAGACGATGAGTTACTGGTAGCAGACGATGAGTTACTGGTGGCAGACGATGAGTTACTGGTAGCAGACGATGAGTTACTGGCAGCAGACGATGAGTTACTGGCAGCAGACGATGAGTTACTGGTGGCAGACGATGAGTTACTGGTGGCAGACGATGAGTTACTGGTAGCAGACGATGAGTTACTGGTGGCAGACGATGAGTTACTGGTGGCAGACGATGAGTTACTGGTAGCAGACGATGAGTTACTGGTGGCAGACGATGAGTTACTGATATCAGACGATGAGTTACTGGTAGCAGACGATGAGTTACTGGTGGCAGACGATGAGTTGCTGGTGGCAGACGATGAGTTACTGGTAGCAGACGATGAGTTACTGGCAGCAGACGATGAGTTACTGGTAGCAGACGATGAGTTGCTGGTGGCAGACGATGAGTTACTGATATCAGACGATGAGTTACTGGTAGCAGACGATGAGTTACTGGTAGCAGACGATGAGTTGCTGGTGGCAGACGATGAGTTACTGGTAGCAGACGATGAGTTACTGGCAGCAGACGATGAGTTACTGGTAGCAGACGATGAGTTACTGGTGGCAGACGATGAGTTACTGCTGGCAAACGATGAGTTACTGGTGGCAGACGAGAAATTACTGATAGCAGAAGATTAGTAACTTGTAGCAGAAGATGAGTTACTGGTAGCAGATGAGTTACTGGTAGCAGATGATGAGTTACTGGAAGCAAAAGATGAATTACTGGTAGCAGACGATGAGTTACTGGTGCCAGACGATGAGTTACTGGTAACAGAAGAAGAGATTCTGGTAGCAGAAGATGAGTTACTGATTGCAGATTATGAGTTACTGGTATATTACTAGTAACACAAAGATCACTACTGTAACACTGGTCACCATTGTAACACTGGTCACCACTATAACACTGGTCAACACTGTAACACTGGACACCACTGTAACACTGGTCACCATTGTAACACAGGTCACCACTGTAACACAGGTTACCCCTGTAATGTTGGTCACCACTGTAACACGGGTCACCACTATACCACTGGTCATCACTGTAACACTGGTCACCATTATAACACAGGTCACAAGTGTACCACAGGCCACCACTGAAACACAGGTCACCATTGTAACACAGGTCACCACTGTAACACATGACACCACTGTAACACAGGTCATCACTGTAACACTGGTCAGCACTAACAATGAACACCACTGTAACACAGGTCACAAGTGTCCCACAGGTCACCACTGTAACACAGGTCACAAGTGTCCCACAGGCCACCATTGTAACACAGGTCACCACTTTAACACAGGACACTACTGTAACACAGGTCATTACTGTAACACTGGTCACCACTGTAACACAGGTCATTACTGTAACACTGGTCATCACTGTAACACTGGTCACCACTGTAACACTGGTCACCACTGTAACACAGGTCATTACTGTAACACTGGTCAGCACTGTAACAATGATCACCACTGTAACACAAGTCACCACTGTAACACTGGTCACCACTGTAACACTGATCACCTCTGTAACACAGGTCACCGTTGTAACACAGGTCACCGCTGTAGCACTCGTCACTTTTGTAACACTGGTCACCACTGTAACACTGATCACCACTGTAACACAGGTCACAACTGTAACACATGTCACCACTGTAACACAGGTCACCACTGTAACACAGGTCACCACTGAAACACAGGTCACTACTATAACAGTAGTCACCACTGTAACACAGGTCACCACTGTAATACGGGTCACCACTGTAACAAAGGTCACCACTGTTACATAGGTTACCACTATAACATTGGTCACTACTGTAACACTGGTCACCACTGTAACACAGGTCACCACTGTAATACTGGTCACCATTATAACACTGGTCACCACTGAAACAAAGGTCCCCACTGTAACACTGGTCACCATTGTAACATAGGTCCCCACTGTAACACTGGTCACCATTGTAACATAGGTCCCCACTGTAACACTGGTCACCATTGTAACATAGGTCCCAACTGTAACACTGGTCACCATTGTAACATAGGTCCCCACTGTAACACTGGTCACCACTGTAACACTGATCATCACTGTAATATTGGTCACCACTGTAACACTGGTCATCAATGTAACACTGATCACCAGTGTAACACTGGTCACCAGTGTAACACTGGTCACCATTGAAACACTGGACACCACTGTAACACCGGTCACCACTGTAACACTGGTCACAACTGTAACACTGGTCATCACTGTAACACTGGTCACCGCTGTAACACTGTTCACCACTGTACCACTGGTCATTACAGTTATATTGGTCACCACTGTAACACTGGTCACCATTGCAACACTGGTCACCACTGTAACACTGGTCACCACTATAACACTGGTCAATACTGTAACACTAGACACCACTGTAACACAGGTCACCATTGTAAGACAGGTAATCACTGTAACTCAGGTCACCACTGTAACACAGGTCACCACTGTGTCACTGGTCTCCACTGTAACACTGGTCACCCCTGTAATATTGGTCACCACTGTAACACTGGTCACCAATGTAATATTGACCACTGTAACACAGGTCACCACTGTAACACGGGTTACCACTGTAACACAGGTCACCACTATACCACTGGTCATCACTGGTCAGTAGTGACCTGTGTTACAATGGTGACCAGTGTTACAGTGGTGACCTGTGTTGCAATGGTGACCTGTGTTACAGTGGTGACCAGTGGTACAGCGGTGAGCAGTGTTACAGTGGTGACTAGTGTTATAGTGGTGACCACTGTAACACTGGTCATCACTGAAACACAGGTCACCACTGTAACACTGATCACCTCTGTAACACTGATCACCTCTGTAACACAGGTCACCGTTGTAACACATGTCACCACTGTAGCACAGGTCACCACTGTAACCCAGGTCGCCACTGTAACACTGGTCACTACTGTAACACAGGTCACCACTATACCACAAGTCATCACTGTAACACTGGTCACCATTGTAACACTGATCACCACTGTAACACAGGTCACAAGTGTACCACAGGCCACCACTGTAATACAGGCCACCACTGTAACACAGGACACGACTGTAACATAGGTCATCACTGTAACACTGGTCATCACTGTAACACTGATCACAACTGTAACACAGGTCACCACTGTAACACTGGTCACCACTGTAACACTGATCACAACTGTAACACAGGTCACCACTGTAACACAGGTCACCCCTGTAATACAGGTCACCACTGTAACACTGATCACCACTGTAACACTGGACACCACTGTAACACAGGTCACCCCTGTAACACAGGTCACCACTGTAACACAGGTCACCACTGTAACACAGGTCACCACTGTAACTCTGGTCACCACTGTAACACAGGTCACCACTGTAACACAGGCCACCACTGTAACATTGGTCACCATTGTAACACAGGTCACCACTGTAACTCTGGTCACCACTGTAACTCAGGTCACCACTGGTCACCCTGGTAACACTGGTCACCGCTGTAACTCAGGTCACCACTGTAACACTAGTCACCACTGTAATACTGGTCACCACTGTAACACAGGTCACCACTGTAACACAGGTCAACACTGTAACACAGGTCACCACTGTAACACTGGTCACCACTGTAACACAGGTCAGCACTGTAACACTGGTCACCACTGTAACACTGGTCACCACTGTAACACTGGTCACCACTGTAACACTGGTCACCACTGAAACATTGGTCACCATTGTAACACAGGTCACCACTGTAACACAGGTCACCACTGTTACACTGGTCACCACTGTAACACAGGTCACCACTGTTACACTGGTCACCACTGTAACACAGGTCACCACTGTTACACTGGTCACCACTGTTACACTGGTCAACACTGTTACACTGGTCAACACTGTAACACTGGTCAACACTGTTACACTGGTCAACACTGTTACACAGGTCACCACTGTAACACAGGTCACCACTGTTACACTGGTCATCACTGTAACACAGGTCACCACTGTTACACTGGTCAACACTGTAACACAGGTCACCACTGTAACACTGGTCTCCATTGTAACACTGGTCTCCACTGTACCAGAGTCCCCACTGTAACACTGGTCACACCATTACAAAGGTCACCACCTTCATACAACATCCATGTAACCTTCAGAAACAAAAAGCCTGAAAAGTGCCTTAATTCAAACACAAGGGCTCTCCAGGCTCCAAGTTCAGCAGAGGTGAGACCAACTCTTCATTACGCTGCCCAAGCATGGAATCTCACCTGTAAATGGGACAAAGATAAATTGGAACAGGTGCAAAGATATTCAACGAGACTCGTACCTGAGCTGAAGGGATTGAGGTCTGGGAAATGGCTGAGAAAAGTTAACCTTACCGCATGAGGAAAGATTGGGTGGGGCACGATAACACCACGGCATTGTTCAGTGCTGGGAACTGCAGAACGTGGCGCCAGAGGTGGAGGCTGGAAGCAGTATTGAGGTACAGGAACGTCAGCAAGAACGTTTTGAGTGTCAGAGTTGTCTATAAGTGGAACAGGTTAGACCTAGAAGTCATTGAAACCTTTGATTCATGTTGTTAAATGTAAATATGATAAATGCATGAGAAATAATTCATTAATCTAAGAATATTCTAAAAGACACCCTGTTTGACCCATTGAGCATATCTTGGTGAGAACACACACACACACGCACACACACACACACACACACACACACACACACACACACACACACACACACACACACACACACAAAGAAATCTGGATCTGGATGTTAGAAAGGCTGTTGGTCCAGACGGGATCTCACCATTGGTACTGAAAGAGTGTGCAGAGGCACTTTGCTTGCCACTCTCCATAGTGTATAGTAAGTCACTGGAGACGGGAGATCTATCAGAAATATGGAAGACGGCGAATGTGGTCCCAATATACAAAAAGGGCGACTGGCAAGAGGCACTGAACTACAGGCCAGTGTCCTTGACTTGTATACCATGCAAGGTGATGGAGAAGATCGTGAGAAAAAACCTGGTAACACATCTGGAGAGAAGGGACTTCGTGACAACCTGCCAACATGGGTTTAGGGAGGGTAAATCTTGCCAGACTGGCTTAATCCCTACACACACAGTTCAATTTATGTCCCAACTTGAGCTCACCTGAACAACTTGAGCTTGTGTCTCATTCTTTATCAATCTATCAAGATTACTATTCTATTATCGAATGAAATGCATTATATGTGACTACTCAACCCATCCTCCGAATTGACAGTACGATTTAATACTAAGTGTAATAAGTACACTTTCTAACTGTCATAACCAGTGCATAATTGCACTTATGGGGCTGTTACATTTACCCAACTCCCTCCCCCGATTTAATTCCCCTCGTTTTCTGTTAAGACGCTCAGAATTATAGTATGAATTTTTCAATTTCTTTTTGAAATACACAAGTTTTAAATATCAAGAATTTTTTTTCTGGTTTATTAAACAATATAGATTTTATACAAAATTTTAAAATATCCAGAGTTATTTTACAATTTATTGATATATTTTAGTTTTGTTTTATTAGTTTTATAAAACTGTAATATCAATATAGCTATTGGTTAAGTACTAATTGTAATTAAGAAGCAATAAAAT